TTGAGGTTCGCACAGTCACCCCAACTGAGCGCATGAGGAATTCCCTCATTAATTGTGGTCTCGTTTTGATAGAAAGCTCTGACGAAGTAATCATTAGTTTTGTTGTTTTGGTGTAACTCGAGGAGAAGGGTCGCCCCAAACGGTGGGAACACATGGTTTGGGAAATTCATGGCATTTATTAGGGCCGCGACTGTTGTGTCGTGCGTTGAATAGACGTATAATTTCTTTTCATTACTCTTATTGACAACTTTATTGAAGTTTTTGGTCAACTCCTTCGCCAAACCGCCACCTCTTAAGCGTTTGATGATAGGACTGTCCCAATCGTATTTGAACTCTGTATTCCTCGACACTAACAACTGATCCAATATATGCTGCTCTTCCTCCTTAGTCCACGTGCTGTTCCAGAAGTAGTTGTGATCGGACTCTATCTTAAGGGTATCGTATAAAGTGGAGGCATCGGCGATGGTAGATATAGCCCAACCCGTAGCTTTTGTCATATTAGCATACAGTTCCTTGTTATCTTCCACAAACTTCTTCAGCTCCGGGCGTTCGTAGATCTTAGCCTTCTCTTTGTCCACTATTGGACACTCTTTGTCCTATTATTTTGAACACAAATTGCAATTAAAATTAAAAGCTATAACAAGGTCACAATTAATGAATACCTGATTGCAAACTAAATCGTCTTCGTGTGGCATAAATGTCTGGATAGGGAAGGGCTGCCAAACCAGACCCAACTTGGCGTCCTCTCCCTTATTCCACTGCCATTCCGGTTGTTTCGGTGGATAAGCGCCGGCTAATAGACTGGAAGTGCTTTCAATACATCTATCGGTTATAGAGCTCCGGACGTACACCTCTCGGGGCGAGTATTTGTCGCCCAAATAGTCGTTATACTCTTGTCGTATGAATTCTCCCAACTTATACAACCTATACTTACCTTTAGTGGTCAGTTCGCCCACACCCTCCACCCAATACTTGGAGGCAGAGTATGTATCTTTAGGTGGGAAAGCATACGGAGGTCTTTCTCCATGCCTATGAACTAATTGCAACAGTTTTAAAGTGGAAATGTCGTGGTCTGGCCATCGTTTCGATGCATTGCTGGCACCAAAACTTGCAAACAATAGGAAACATATGTTAACTATTAAAAGCATTATTAATGAAGAATTTAATTCTTTGTCTCCTATTAAACATTTGTAAATTTGCAGTAAATTCACATCAGTTTATATAACAATTCTTTATCGTAAAGTTTGAATTGTAGATAAAAAACTTATTTGACTTTCTTTTAGTTAAAATGAACTAATTTTTACTTTAATCTGATTAAATTGCAAAGTACACAGAAAATAAATTATTAGAGCTGTTAAAATACATTAGGTACCGAATTTTAGATTATAGTCAAATATTGTATTAATGATGAATTAAAGTTGATAAAAAGTTCAATTTTGTAATTTTATACATTTCTAATGAAATATAGTGCAACATTAATGCAATTATTGCTTTGTAATATCATGATAAAATGATCATTAATGTGGTTATTTTCGAGCACATTGTAGATATTCTGCTACTAAATTTATTATACTAGTAAATTTAGAGTTACTTTCACCTCTAACCCATTCCTATTCAAGTAAACACTTTATTATCGACTTAAATGAATACATAATTAACAAATGGATAAACTCTTACAATATTTCTAATCAAATGCATGCAATTTAAATGAAATACTCTAATATTTTATATTCTAAAAAGTCATTAATTTGGTATTTAATAGTGTATCGAATAAATATGTTAATCGCAACTAATTTTATTTTATTGAACATTTAAAAATTATCAGACATATTGTAGGAGTAATTATCAAAATTAAACATTTTGTCTGAAAAATCAAGTAATTGCATCAAGTAATCCTTTTCATTGCATTCCTTATCAAAGTCTTCATAAATTAAATGTTTAGTTGAACTAATATACTGATTGAATGGACAGTCGGCTAATGATTTACAACCGCCCCAATTGAGTGCATAAGGAATTCCCTCATTAATTGTTGTCTCATTTTGGTAGAAAACTCGTACAAAATAATCAAAGGTTTTGTTATTTTGGTGCAATTCAAACAGGAGTGTTGACCCAAACGGAGGTGCCTTTCCATCGGATATGTTGAGAGCCTTCATAAGTGCGGCCACAACGGCATCGTGTGTTGAGTACACGTATAACTTCCTGTCATTCCTATTGTCCACCACTTTCTGATAGTTTGCATTCAATTCTTTGGTTAAACCGCCGCCTCTTAGACGCTGAATGACAGGACTGTCCCAATCGTAGCGCCACTGCATTTGCCACGAGTTGTACAACTCGTTGATCACACGAGTCTCCTCCTCCTTAGTCCACGAGTGGTTCCAGAAGTAGTTGTGATCCGTCTCTATCTTAAGGATGTCGTACAGACTGGCGGCGCTTCCGATGGACTTAATGTGTTTGCCCACAATTTTGCTCACATTTTCATACAATTGCTTGTTTTTCTCGACGAACTCTTTCAGTTCCGGCCGGTTGTATATTTTGGTCATTTCATTGTTCACTGCAGCGCATGGCTTTCCCTTTAAAGGAACGGTAGATTATAGAATTTAAATGTAATATTATATGTATATTGGATTTTAAAAAAAGTTAAAAATGAATACCTCGTTGCAAACCAGATCATCCGAATGAGGCATAAATGTCTCGATGGGGAAGGGTTGCCATACGAGACCTAATTTAGCGTCCGTCCCGTTATTCCACTGCCAGTCGGGCTGTTTCGGTGGATAAGCGCCGGCTAATAGGCTGGACGTGCTTTCAATGCATCTATCGGTGATAGAGCTCCGGACGTACACCTCTCGGGGCGAGTATTTGTCGCCCAAATAGTCACTATACTCTTGTCGTATGAATTCTCCCAACTTATACAACCTATACTTACCTTTAGTGGTCAGTTCGCCCACACCCTCCACCCAATACTTGGTGTCCTTATAGGGATCATTATCGGGAAAAGATGTAGGTGCCCTCTCGCCATGTCGATGTACTAACTGCAACAGTTTGAGAGTCGATATGTCGTGATTTGGCCACCGTTTCGATGCATAACACGCGCTCACAAACACATATAAACTAAATATAATTGCAATTAATCTCATTTCCAAACAATAAAATGTAATTTATTAAA